TGTGGTAATTTTACCTTTACTCTAGTACCGTTATTTGCACTTTTACTTAAGTAGTATGTAGCTACTTCCTTCACCACTACTGTTTACATGACCCTTCATCACAGCTTGCATAAATTAACAAGCACCCCCAGTCACAATTTTCCATTCTTACATTGTCAGTGTCATTTTGATGGTTTCAAAAAGAGGTAAACCTCTTTCACAAATGTTTAATTTGATCGAAGCCATTGGATAGCTTCATACATAAGAACACATACACTTTGATCTTCATTTGAATCAAACTGTAAGAAGCCCTGTCAGGGTGGAGAGCTAATATCTTTTTCCACAAGCTTATTTGATGATACATGTTTTTTGGTGGAATCAGGTAATTATTTGATGTAGTGGGTGAACATGAACAACTCTTGAGCTCAGGGGGTCTTAAAGACACATACTACATATGTGCAGGTTCAAGCCTGTCTGATGTGTAAAACCGCTGTCTTGTGTTTTGGTGTTACACCTCAGCGTATCTCCAGTGTTTGCTGTCTTTCAGAGCAGCACGAGGCAGTGTCGAGTTTCTGTGGTGGAGCCAAGCAACATGCTGCAAGTTGTTTGTACCCAGGCAGACAGAGCGAGCTGTGTGTCTGTTTTAAGCCCTGACATCTCAGCTGTCATTACCCTGTCACTGTTCTAATTAAATGGCTTGCTCGCCGCAGAGAGGCGTTTATAAAGATGCCAGCGACTAGTCTGAGTATGCACACCAAACACACAAGAGGCTTTTCCTTTCATGTCTGACACTTTCTCCTGCCACTGAGGTTCATGTGTTGGCTAGTGCAGTTTTGAATTCCCATATCTCCCTTCTAGCTGCAGCTCCCCTGGAGAGACCTCTGTCCTTGCTATGCTGACTTTGTGGGGAGATGTGAACAAAATATTTTCTGCAATATTAAATTCCCTCACATACAGCAAATGTTACCTGAGTGTGTCAGGCAGCAGGCAGGAAATCATTTTGGAAGGACTTAGGATGGCATGATCAGACCTGTTATTATTATTTAAGTGTATTTTGTTATTTGGATGCATACCTCTTATAGAATTACACTCAGATCAGATATCAGGGCTTTACTCTGTTGTTGATCGTGTTGCTCCAATACAGCAGTTATTTATTTATCTTTTCCAGCTGTTTTGAGCATTATTTTTACCTGCTGTAGTCTAATTCTAATACATATTGCTGCTGTTTCTAAATATAACCCCATCACAGTTTAAATGAATGACACTTTCAAAGCATAAGTCACTAACCCTGTGACTTTCTTTCTCCTTATATCTCCAGCAAACAGCTATTCTAAGCATCCTGACTTTCTGCATAGAGCTGAAGCACCTCAACCTAGGGAGCTGTGTGAGGGTAAGAATAAACACAAACACACACAGACACACACACACACACACACACACACAGACACCAACACACGCACACACACAGACACACAAACTAGATGTTCTTTTATAGTCTGTGGATCTGTCAGGCTTCATCCAGCAGTCCCTAAGCCTTAAGCCTGGAAACTGGAGTAAAGTGCTCTGCTGTACCTGTACCCATTTTTCCCCATGTAAAATCTTCTGCTCAGCACATCAAAAACTCATTTGTTTAATTTGTACAAAAACTAATATGTAAAGATGGCAATTTGATGTTTTTTCAGTTGGTAAAAAGCCGACTTGAGCATCAAACCACTGAAAAGCAGTCCATTGATTAAGTCCAGTAATTTGTGAACTTTAGCGTTACAGTTATTTAGATTTTGTCACTTTGTCACTTTTTACAGTTATGATGGTGAAACCATATTATAAAAGAAGTTCTATAGCATCATTCTCCTTATATATTTGTTTTTTCTGTGTTTAACCTGCGCCAGGCCAACAATGATAGCAATCATAGTTTCCTTTCAGGGTTTGTAGCAAAGCTGTTAAAATATGTTACGTTGTTTTTTATTTAAATGTGCTTGTATCTGATCTATACTCTGTACTGACTGATATGCAAAGTCCAGGTATCAGAATTGGTATCAGGAAGGGGCTAGTCCCTTTTATATTCAATTTTATAAAATATATCACTTTGTTCACTTATTCACTCTGCCAGTCTTTAACTGACAAAATAACTCGACCACACACCTTGTCATTAGCTGAGTTTCCATCCAATTGATTCATATTTGATGCAAATTAGGTCGTTGCAAATAAAAAAATATGGAAATCCAAATCTTTTTTTCTTAAGACACAAAGTGTCGTCATTAGGGATGGAATGGAAATACATAATGACAGCAACTCCTTCAGCCGAAGATTTAATAACCGTCCACTGCGAACCCTCGGTAAATGTTTTGCATGCTGTTATTTCTGTGGGTAAGGTGCCTGCACTGGCTGTTTGGCTGCTAAATTGCATTTCTTTGCTTTCATCTTTGGATGAAAGGATGAAATATGGCCAACATTACCTGACACCAAAGAACAATAACAGTCCCGCAAACACAAATCACTTCTTGAAAGACTATATCATTTTCTTTTTTGATGATGATGATGTTCTCTCTTGGAGCTTTGTTTCCTCTTGAGAGGGAGGTTATGTGCTTCAAACCAGCCGATACAGCTACTCAGCTTTTTATTGTTGCTGCATTTCAAAAGTTTGTTGGGAGTTAGGAAAGTAGTTACTTGCTCATTACCTTATTCCCCTTCATAGTATCATTTTCTCAGTCCATCAATTTATATAGGTCCTCTGTCATGGCATCCTCAAGGCAGATCCCTGAATTCTGTGACTGCATGAAATACACAGACATTTTTATAGTATCTAAAGTATTGGACGTAAACTCCACAGAATCTCTCTCTGCTTCTTGATAGTGTCCCTTAGACAAACATAGTAGCCATTGAAAATTATTTAATACTCTGAGAGCCCATTTCTTCCTCCAAAGAATCCCTGTGAAACTATGAACAGGCCGCAGCTCTCAAAACAACGGACAGACACCCTGCTTAGTGAAAATGGATGTTTAAAGCTGTCTCTCCTGCAGATTGAGGACTGTGACGTTGTGGCCAGCATGCTGGCTGCCCGCTGCCGCTCCCTCTGCTCACTGGACCTGTGGCGCTGCAGAAACCTGACAGATCGAGGTCTGGCCGAGCTCGTCTCTGGCTGCAGGTAGGCAGTGCACTTGTGTTCCATGCTTTGAAAATGTTTATCTTACACTTCTCATCGCAGAGGGGAACAAACATAGTTGAACAAACACAGTTTTCATCAGGCCTTTGAACGTATCACATGCTCAAATCGCACCAAATTCGAAACTGCGCTTTCTTGCACCCTTAGCAATACATATGTGAATGTAGGTTTGTGCTAAGGGTTAGCCACAGAAAGACGGACAGATTGCCTGTTTGTTCTGTGGTGATGCTGGTTCCTGCTTTTTTTTTGAAACTGTAAATGTGACCTGTAGTTATTGAGCAGTGGCAGATAAAGGTGTAGGACTCATTTCACAGAACCCTAAAGCTGCGCCAACGCTGCTACACAAAGTGCTGTTCACCTGCTTATTCAATGTTTGGTGACAATAGATAGACAGATACATATAGATAGACAGGCAGACTGACAACTGAAAGGTTGCAGATCACATCTGATTCCACGTGAATGTGAATTTGGTCTGCGTTTGTTCAGGATGCTGGAGGAGTTAGACCTGGGATGGTGTCCCACATTACAGAGCAGCACTGGATGTTTCCAGCACCTCGCCCGCAGCCTCCCACGCTTGCGCAAACTCTTCCTCACCGCCAACCGCACCGTCTGCGACTCCGACATAGAGGAGCTGGCCGCCAGCTGCCCCTCACTGCAGCACCTCGACATACTGGGTAAACACTGATCTCACACATATGTGGAAATCCCTTCACAAACATTTGTTATTTATTAATGATTTATTAATAGCTCGTGCAACTAAAGCTGCTAATGTTTTTTTCAAGTAAACTTCACATTTAGCATAGCATTTCCAATTTGGGACGTGGTCAGGTGTCATAGCGAACAGCAGATTCACAGCAGCAACCTCTGAAGACAGAATCAAAGACACACAAATATGCAAACATAATCATGTATATTGGAATTACTCCCAACTCTGTTGTCTTGTTCTCAGCCATAGATCATCGCATGAATGAATAAGGGACTGCATCAAAGAATCGTGGACATATTTTTGCATGGTTACACTACATGTGTCCATGCTCATGGAAAAATAATTCTTGTTTTTGCCTTTGATTTATGTTTTCTCATTACGTTTTGAGTTGAGAATATTAATGCTATAATTTATAGCCATGTAAATATACAGGTACATGTGGGTATGTCATGATACCAAACATGTAGTAGTCAATACCAATACCATGAAATTTCAAGTTCTCGAAACCCATTTCAATACCACGACAAAGAACAAAAAAAAAACTTTGAATCCCATTTAATTCAGCACACACTCCTTTATAAAAATATTTGAACATAAAAAAAACAACCGTGGCTATGCAGCCTTCAAGTAATAAATAAAAAGAAAAGATTATTTACATATAAAACAGATCAGTGGCCTGTAGGAAAATTTAGATTTCCGTTATCAGATATAGCACAATGACTGTAACACACTCCTATAGTGAATCACCAGTTGTATGCAATAAACATGAAGCATGCTATTTTGGTCTGGACTGTGTCTTTAATATGATGCAGTTCTAAATATTATTGGTAATATTGGATATATTGCAATTTCTATAAATTACCAACCAGCCGCTAATGTCAGGATTCACCAGGGGCATATAATCAGTCATGTAAAGTTTAGCCATGCAGCTTTTCGTTCGCTTTTTGTTGGCAGGTTTTTAACCTGGCTTTGTACATTTACATATTTATAGTGTATTCACAGTTTTCTTTATTGTGATGTATATTTTCCTAGTAAAGAGTTTTTCCTTCCTGCCTTTAGGTTTTTTTTTTCTATGTTTTAGAATTTCAGAAATTTGCAGAGTTACTTCCATTATTTGCCTTGTATTTCTTTGCTTATGTTTGTTTTTGTAACATATTCTCCTTTCCCTCTTGTGACTTGTCTCTTGGACAGGTACACGGTTGGTGAGTGCCACTTCGCTGAAGAAGCTACTCCAGTCGTGTCCTCGGCTTCTCCTCCTGGACGTCTCCTTCTGCTCCCAGATAGACATGCGGGTCGTCCAGGAGCTCTGTGGCCTCTTCCCCAATGTTGCCATCAAGAAAAGTTTCACTCAGTGACCCCAGCAGAGGAAGTAAGAGTGGGGAGGTGCTCATCAGCAAACACTGCCTCAGAGTGAGTCAGATACTGGAGGAGACTTTGAACCTGCCTGCATCTGTGTCACAGACAAGATCTTTCAGTGGTCAGTAAACAAAGGATGTTCTTTGGATGAACTGGCTGGATGCTAACAACTACAGACTGCTAGTTAAAGGATTACAGAATGTGAGACTTTTTTTGTTGTTAATATTTTTGGACACTTGAAATTAGCAGGAAAGATGCTGCATCTTCCAAAAATATGAATCACCACTTACTGTATGTATTGCCAAGAGAAAAGCTGTAAAATATGCCTTCCTACTGGACGCAAGACACACAAACAATCCTCCCGTGAACATTGTGTGAGTGCAACAAAATTGGACAAAAAAAGTGTGAAACTCACCCTTAAGGAAAACTGTGAGAAACAAAACTTGTGTTTGGTAACCACATACTCATGTTCGCTGGTTACACATTTAAAGATCAGGGCCTTGGTCAGTGCCTTGTCAGAATGTGCTGAAAACAAGCTCTTTAAATGATTGAGGGTCACTCTGATGGCACCTGTCAACATTAAATCGTTTTGATTTTGATTTAAGAATTCATACTTGGTAACCGGGGTGTCAAAGGCAGGGAATGCAGCTTCATTTTACACACCCTTCTGAGTGGACTGTGTCGTCTCAAACCTAAATGGGGGTATAACTGGGTATGTGTTGCTGCAAACTGACTGCTTAATCTCACACTTGAACTAAAATAGTAAGAGTAAAATGTCAACTGTCCCTGCGCCTGAGATACACCTACAACATGTACTCATCCAGAAACGTGTGAGAAGTTGAAAACTAAACTGAAACTAAATGAGTTTTGATTTACACATGCCACAAATGCAGACGTAGAAAAAGCACCCAGGGCATCAAATCAACCGCAGACAGAGTGAATCATTTAAAAAAAAAAAAAAAAAGCAGTAAGAAATAACACTTGAACAGATTGAAACCTAAATTTACAGTGGTATGAGACAGAGAAGACCAGCTAATTGCCTCCTGGAAGAAGCTAAACCATTGACTGTTTGACATCTTTTTTGTGTTAGTCAATCACCTTAAATTTTAAATTAATTTACTCTCAGTTGGCTAATTGATGAAGTGACTATTCTGTCAACCAGACAGGTCTAATGTATCTGATTTAAAAATATAAAATTGTTTTACTTTGCAGATGGATAAAATAATTATATATAAACCAGAAAATTGTGTTAACTTAGCTTTTTGGCATGGTAGGTGATTGAGGATAATTTCAGTATTTTCAAACCTGGGCACTATTTTTTTGTGTCTAAATGAATATTAGGGACAAAAATTTGGGGGAAGCATGATCCTGATGATATCTGCAAGGAAATCATCTGCAGTAGTCTGCATCAAAGTATGTCCCCAAAAAGTGCTTTTCTTTGCCCCCAGGCTCAGATTGTTATTACAAGAGTCTGACAACTTTGTGGAAAGGATCCCTACAGAGATAGACCTTGTTAAAGAGTTAGATCCTTTTTTATAATGGCTTTAATAGCGCTTTGTTCAAAACCACCAGACTCCTTTGAGAAAAACAGTCATTTAGCCGAACACGGATTCTTTTTCTCTATATGACTGGCAGTATTGTCATCCTGGTCAAAATGGTCCCGGCAGTGTGAGCCTGTGTTCAATGACTGTTTTTGTCATTGTAGTTTGGTGTCTTTGAACGGAGCTTGTTGCTGGTGAAACAAAAAGGATCTTGCTCTTCAACAGAAAGGTTTGGATCTTTTCTATACAGTGTCAGACACACTAGACTGCAGACAAGCACTCTGAATGGATGTACTTTGACACTGACAAACAATCAGATGGATTGCAAAGCAGTTATTTTGCGATTGCTGGTTATAGAATTAGTGCTAAATATTGGACCAATTCCAAACCTTTTTCCCCTATAGATTATTTAGACCCAAAAAATGGAGCCTGTTAAAAATACCAGGATTATCATGTAATGAGAAATGAAAGGCTTAACTGAATTTGAGACAGATTTGTCGATGTAACCTGCGTTGGGTTGACTTCTGTTTAAATCTGCCCAAAATGATGTGTTTCTTAAGTTTTTAATGAAATAATTCTTTTTCTGGCTCAAGTCAAGCAAAAAAAAAGCAAAAAAAAGCCTGGCCAATGTTGTAATCAGAGTGATTGATAATTGACTATGCTTAAGCCATACAGGTTATTTAGTTGTTTTGGACACTTAATTTGAAAGTATGCGGAGGTCCTGGGTTTTTACGATGTTGAGAGTTTTGTCTCCAAAGCTCAAGTTTGAATGTCACATGTTCCACAGTTCTTTGGTGATGTTGCATGTTTTTCCTCTTATTATTCACAAGTTGTTTGATTACAGCCACCAACTTACTGTGCTCACCACCAAACTGATGGAGGAGTTCTGTGAATGAAGTAGAGTCAGGTCAAAATGACACAGTGTAAATGCCCTATGTGATCTCAGTATTTGTCCTGTAACTCAGGGGTTATATATTTCATCTGGTTTGAATTTTTTTTTATCGATATTTTATTCCAGAAACCAGCACATCTTAATAGACAGTAACACAAGACTGACTCAGCTTTGAAGTAACCTGCTGTAGGTGTTGATCTTGACCAACAAACACACAACATAAATGATAATCAGCACTGAAGTGACTGATACACAGTTTAGAATTACAGCTTATTGGGTGTTGAATGTTGCATTAATTATATGATTATGAAAAATATATTCCTGTAATTAATTATTTGATTTTTGCAATTTATAAAGCCACAGTTGCAATGTGGCTGAAGTGCTCGAAAAGCATTTCTTTTCTTTTTTCTGGAAAAAAAAAAACTTGAAGTTTTCTTTAAAGCACATGCGTTTGGTCAATATTTGTGCCTTATACTCCAGTTTGAATGTGGTGTGGTGTCCATGTGATATAGATTGTAGTGACGTGCTTTACTTTTATGCCCTTCAACCAAAGTAATACACAGAAACATGGTCATTAGTTTCACTGCTGTATTTGACCAGTTTATATGCCATATGTTGTATATCAGCCATGTTAATTAATATGCAAAACAATATTTATTTATATTGATCCCTGTGTGATGAAAATACTATTCAAAATCATTATCCTGATATAAAGAAACTCTACTTTGCAATTTGGGAAATACAGCATTTTGTTTTCTTACCCAAAGTCTAATGAGAGGAATGATGCATTCAGGAGGTCTCGCCTAGTTTAGCACAGAGGATGGGAGGACTTTAGCCTAGCTTAGTACAAAGAACAGAAGTATGTCCTACACTTAGCTATGTAGCCTACAAAGAATGGAAGTATCTCCTGCTTCGGGGTAATTTAGCTCCATCAACGAAAAGAAAAAATGCTGTTGGGGGACTGATGAACTGATGCTAACGGTATCGCTGATCCTTTTTGCTAAGTTAGGAGAAAGTCCTGACAGAAGCCTGGTGCAGGATGAGCCTGAAATCCAACAGATATCAATCATCCAATGCAATAATTGGTTTAAGGAAAACCCATAAAATGCTGGACTGTACCATTACAATGATAGTTTTGTTGAAATGTATAATTTCCTTTTTTTTTTTCAGTATGACATTATTTTGTGTTTCTATGAGGGCTTATGGATGATGAAAATATTACCCCAGAGAGTTGGAATCAGACAACCGAAGATGAAAACATTTGTATTATTGTTGGGTGACTGGAAGCTAAGTATTGTGTAAGTCAGGGTTTTTACTGGCCCACCCAAGACAAGTATTTTTCAAGATCATTACTTATGTGTTGTATTTGTTTGCCACCTTGAGTGACTGGGATGACCCTGCTTCTCTTTCAAGAATATGCATTTTCTCTCCTCCCTGTCTGGCTGTGCGGTCAGCCTTTGTGCTATGGGTTAGACATGCAGTGATGCTAACACCGTGAACACCACTGTTGTGTTAAAAGGTTGTGCCCCTGTCATGATGAAACCTGGTGCTTCACTTTCGCCAGATTTTAAATAAACAGAAGGCTGATGACCGGCACTAAAGGCTCCCTTGCTCTGTGACTCCACAGTTCTCTTGCAATCCTTAAAGGACATATTTTCTTCATTGCTAAAGATGCATTAAAGGGAAGTGTTTTGAGTCCATAAAACACTTTTGGAGTTTCAGGGGTAAACAGTGTTGCAGCCAAATCCAATACACTTTGAGGTAAATGGTGACCTATTCTTCAAAATGTAAAAAAAAAAAAGAACAACAGACAAAAACATAAAATCCCCCCATACTGCTCCTGTGGTGTCATCCAAGTGTCTGTAAGCCCTGACATTCAAACTCGAAACCTTTCATGTGTTCATCGTGGTGTAAATGATGCCTTTTCGAGTCTAAGTTGAATGTCTACGTTTGAAGAAGTGGTCGCCATTTACTTCAATTTTATTAGATTCGGCTGCAACACTGTTTACCCTTGAAATATCAAAAGTGTTTTGTGGGCTCAAACACCCACCCCTCCATCGGCATAGTGCTGAGTAGATAATGAGTGAGAAACTATCCCTTTAACTTGCTCCTATGGCTTTCTTACTTATTCTCCAGCCACAGTGAACCATCACTGTCAATACAAATGTGAATTGTGTTTCTGTGTCATGCCAAGGCCTTGTCAGTAGACTAGTGTAAAGTGTGACTGGGAGAAAAGCATGGTCGTCTACTGAATCCACAACGGCTAGAGAAGCCTTTAGTCAGGATGACTGACTGAACAGCAGTGGTGGAATGATCCTTTATGTCCTTAACCCTCTGCTATTTTACAGTTTATTAATACCACAGGGAGACGTGACATTAGTTTGTCTTCTTAACTGTGTTTTAATGAATTGTTTATGCCTGGTTTAATGATGTATATTGTGGCCCTGTAATGTGCCCTAATGACGGAGAACGAGGCGGCCTCGGCTGAAGTATTAATTTGGACTGCCTCCCCGATGATTATTCCTCAGCCAGCGACACCGCCGCTGCTGCCTCTGCTGCCTCTGCTGCTGTGTGCACGAGAACGGATGCAAACGTGATTCATGGAGGCTTTTCCGCTCTGCGCTACAGCTTGATTCCTTGCTGTCACGCCACTCTGTGAGGCTGATATATCCAGGGGGGATCCACAGCAATTAGTTCAGCTTTTTATTTGTCTTTCAAGCGCTTACAGACGTAGCCTGATGAATCTGCGGGGGGAATATATGGATGGAAATATTGTTCCTGAATAATAAATCCAACATAATAAATCCAAGCAAGGGGAAGGTTAAGGGCTGCTGGCGCAAGGTTGCCCTGTGCTATATTCCTCTCTATACAAACCACATAAGTGACACATGAACATACCTTGACAAATATCGCAGCACCCCACCGGTATAGTAATAGTCCTCTCCTCAGTGAGACATGTCTGCAGAGTGCTGTGGTCTGCCTTGTCCTCTTCAGGCGGGGACTCGACAGGCCTCAGACCTGCCTGAGGGAGGCCTCTTTGTGATACCCATCATTATGTGGCTTGGTGTTCCTTCTCTAGTTTCCCATCTTAGACTCTTAATAACGAAGACGTCCCTGTCAGTCCCCGCGCTGCTGTGTCTACAGCTTGTTATTTTTTGTTCTGTTTTAAAGGATATGGAGAATGTCAGTACTGAGTTTGTCAAATCCAACTAAATTCTATAATCCATATGTAGCTTTTTGAAGCAGCAGGCACGGGATGTTTATTTAGCCATGTCTAAATCCACGAGGATTTTCATTTTGTACACACTGTCAAACTGTGATGCTTTGCTGTAATTACTGTAAACAAATGACGCCACATTTGAGACCATTTTTGAAACCTTTATCTGATGCTGGTGGTGTACATGCAGTGCTAATGTTTCTCAAAATGAAGACCAGATATTTTACAAAATACTGTTAAGGCGAGTTTATGCCTGTTCTTTTGTTTACGGGTCATTTTCTTTTTTGTAGGCAACAGCTAGATCTTTCGGAAATTTGTCAAAGACCAGAAGTTTTCAACTCCTTTGGCTTGTTACACCTTGAGACAGAGAAACTGCTTTTTCACGCACCAGTCAATTTAGAGATGTTGGGCGTCTTAGTTTCCATAACCTCCTCCAGATGAAACCAGATAAAAAGATAATACACATTTAGGTGTTGATTTTGGCGGCTGTGGTTCAGGCGATAGAGTGGGTCCGGGTTGTCCACTAACCAGAAGGTCAGGGCTTTGATTATGAGGCATTCTCATTGAAAAAGTAATAGTAATTCCCCTTCATTGAACATGAGTCAGATTAAATCTCCAAAATTCCCAAAAGTGGAAAATGTAAGACGTTTATTGCAGGGTTTTTTTTTTTAGAAATAATGAAATATGACACTGCCTCAGATGTTATATTTGGACTTTGAGTATCCTAGACGCTGTCCAGGAAAGCTTTTTTAATTTTAAATTTTTTTACCTGATGTCCATCTCCAGCTTCCTGTTCTCTCAGCAGCAGCCTCGAACTGAACTGCTCAGTTTGAACGGTGCAAAGCACAAGATGGCCTCCGTGAGATGAGCATGTTTCACAAACAGGCCGAGCAATTACAGCCTGAATAATTATGTGCTGAAGGGGAGACATGTTTCGCCCCACTGATCAGCAAAGTTCATGTGAAGTTATAATTAAACAATAACTAGTTTACAAATGAACGCACACACGCATTTGTGTACTTAAGTGTGCAAAGTGTAATTAGCTGCGATGCATCTGAGTGAGATTGAAGAACAACAATGTCAAACGGTGGAATTATGTTCAGGCCGTGAGCTTGTATCACTGTTATCTGTGCGCTCAGGGAGGAGAAGGAGGAGGAAGAGGAGGAGGAAGAGGAGTGGAGGTGTGAGCGGAGAGAGAAAGACAGGCTGAATGAGTGATTGATGCAGGCGGCTGATTCAGCTTCGCAAGATTCAGAGATGATGTTTGACAGGGAAACTTTGAACAAACGTGTTCAATGAAGATCTCTGGGGGGTAAATAAAGTTAGTCACAAAAATGAAACATTCATTTTTCAAAGTTAATTAGACCCCAGGAAATCATATTGAAACATGATGTAGCTGAACACAATGTTAAATGACATAATGTGATCAGAGGAAGATTAGGTATTAATGTTGTTTCTCGGGGACGGACGTAAATACATCTGCTTGATGTTGTACTCACTCTTTAATTTGTAATTTGTCACAATTCGTACCAGTTAGTGAATCAGCTCTTTACACAATGTTTTGTTTAGCGACAGGGCTAAAACTGCTGAGTCAGTGTTGGTTCTTTAAGCACGTCTTGACACCAGGAAGCATATGCTGTACTTTTTATATATAGTGTATGGTCACACTTAATTATAGCACCTATTGCTGCAGGCATGGCCAACTCTGTCTCTGAAAACATAATGCTGTGGAACAAACCAATGAGAAGCCAGGGAGAAGAGAGGGAAAGACGGTGCAGGCCTCGTCCTGATAACCTGATCACAACGTGTGTCGAAGACTCTTCAGACAGCTGACACTCTGCACGATGAGGTTTCCAGCTCGTCTGAACAGGCTCCACAGGCTGAGATGTCCGTTCACATTTAGCTGCTTTTTATCTGGCCACCTTGTAACAATAGGCACAAAACTGCGAGGCGGAGATGTGAACTTTGGTAAATTTGGGCTGGCACGATTATCTTACTCCTATTATTGATCTGGGGCTGCCTGTATGATTATTGTCATTATGGATTGTCAACTCATTTCATGATTAATTGTTTAGTGTATTAATGTGACAACCTAAATGGCCATTGTGACGTCTTCCACTGCTCTTTTTTTCTGGAGAACTTTATACTTGTCACAGCAGGAAAAGCATAGGTGTCATTTATTACATTAACTCTGGTCCTGAGTGTCTCAGTGAGCTGCAGCCCA